GCGTGTGTGTGTAGGTCTTTTGGAAAGAAGGGTGTTCTTTTGGCTAATTCAAAGAAGTAGGAGACTGGAGATAAGCATTTTATTCCTAGTTCTGCCACAGGTTTACTGTTTCATCATCTGTGAAATGGGGATGCAGCTGCTTTATTATTATATAAATTATTTATTGTGAGACTTACTTAATTAATGCCTGTACAGCACTTTTAGAAATTCTCAAGTGGAAGGTGCTATAGGTAGAGAATTTAACTGGCACAAGCTACAAGAAACTTAATTGAATATTTAAATATACATGAGTTTGCTGTTTGTTTTAAAAGTGTCCTGTCTTGTTACACCTCTGTATATGTTTCTTACACATTCATCCCAGAAATGGAGAATATTCTGATGAAAACTGTATAAAATATTAAGTATTCCATTTCAAGACAAATGATTCTACGAGACAGATCATATTGTAATAATATCACTTCAATGACTGGGTATAGGTAAGAGAATGGTAACTAAAATCTGTCAAGCTTTTTAAATAATAATTCTAGCTTTTTTTTAGCAAATTACTCAGAACAAAATTAATTCCTGTCTGCTGCAATGAATGTTGTACTTACTGCAGATTTTTTTTTATTTAAAAAAATATATAAAATAAAATTAAATTCATTTTTGTAGCATAAACAAACTTTGCTAGCCAGATGTTAGGGAAAACTCATAATATAGAAATATGTCATTGTTTATTAAAATATAGAAAAATGTGATTCATTTATAATAATATTCAGTTGGACAAACATCACTTTATCCATTTATAGTACTTTACAATATCATTCTGTAATGAGATTTCTTATTAGCTGCTGAAAGTTCTGTCTTTCTACCCAATCCTGTACCACTTAGTCACGCAAAATATCCAATTATTTAAATTGATGCTTTCCTGAGTAAGTTGGAATCACATCTAGTAGATATTGGATACAACTGCATAGTTTGGGGGCTCATTGTCCAATTTACCCTCCATCAAACAACATCTATGAAATTACAAAAAATAAGTACTGTAATATTCTGTGGTGCTACTATAATTGCATAAGATAATTTTCTCATGACAGAGGTTGGCTGCATATTTGTGCTTATGTTCCCATAGCTTTTGTTGGGGAGGGGAGTGCTGCCTTTTCCTTTTTGCAAATAGTTGTAACACAGAATCAGCATATTGTGCTGGCCATCTCCTCAGCAGTAGTGCTGCTGCTGCTTGGGAATATTCTCTGTAAATGCAGTACATTTTTCTGATTTTGAAAAAAAAGATAAATATAACAAAAATATAGCAAAATGATTATTTCCATTTCTGTATCTGTTTCTCATAAAACTGAACTTATTTTATTTAATTTACACTATGCTTTGCGAACCAAATGAATCTTAACATTTGTAGGTGCTGTAGGAAAAGTTGCATTTGCAGCACTCAGTCTGAGCCTGTACAATTTCCAAGGGTTATGACATTTCTTCCACTACCTTTATTGATCATTTTAAGAAAAAGGATCAAGATCAGGGCTGATGAATGCCTCGGATGGAGAGATCTTATTCAGCTATGTTCAAAGCATATTTCCTCCTTAATCTGCTGCAAATGGATCTGAATCTAGTACCAGTAGCTGAGTTCCTATCCCATCCTTGATTACAGCAACTTCTGAAGCATTTGACGTGCTTCTGTGTCATATGAACGTCTGTGTGGAGGCCTGGACACATTAGAATTGGATTTAATTAGAAGTTGTAGTATTAGCTCTCCTGGAGTTGTGGACTAGTTGATAAATTTTTTTTCTTCAGGGGAAGGCTTTGTCATCTTACTCCTGTAATTATGTATAGTTATGTTCATACAAAGCACACGGGATCTTTATAGAGGAAAGTAAATACACAGCATTTATTGAGAATATCACAGTTAGCATATGCTTTTTAGACAGACAGACTCACTCACTCACTCTCTCTCTCTCTCTCTCTCTCTCCCTCCCTCCTGCCAGTGATGTTCATAGTTACCAGTCTGTTGTAGCTTGAGTCAATCTAATGGCCAGTTAGATTGAGCACAAGTGTGGAGCTGGGTTCTGTCGGTCGTGATCCGATGCTCCGAGGCTTTGCAGGACTGAACCCAGAGTTCCATGGCAAAACACCCCAGCTTTATAGTTGTAAATTCTCATTTGAGTCCATGCATTTTGCAATGTCATCCTGTAATCATTAGTCCTTAAGTGGTATTATTATTTGATGGTTATTGTCGGGCTTCCCATTGTTATCTCCTATCTGTTGTCTCGCCTTCGGGGGTGCCTGCCTCACCTCTGAGGTCGTCAATGCTGCTAACATGTTTAACATCGGATACAATGGATGTTTTCTGATTGTCTCCTGGTCTTTCCAAGTCTCTCACTTCTTCTTGACCATCTGGACATTTGTGATGGCTTTCACACCTTATCTTTTCCTGATGCATGCATTCCTCATTCACACAAACAATCTTACAGAAACCTTCAAAGGTATACAGACAGCAGTATACATTGTAAATCAAGCCTTGCTAAATCTTATAACTAAAACAATTCACATTGGGGCTTCAGGCTCTCAACATTCCTCTAATCTTCTTAACATAGATAGAATAGAGAATCCTGTCTCTTACTTCCTAATTTGTAATACATATAGGAAACCATAGTAGCTTTATAACTTATTCTAAAACAAAAGGATGACCATAATTAGTCATAAGGATTGTTCTGGTCTGTCATTCCTTTCTGCTATTCAAAAAGGGGTGGCTCACCAGATGAAATCAAATCATACATTAATTCTCATAGTACATTATAAAATCCAGCTCCTACATAGTCATCTTAAGTAAGATTCTAGTTTTCTTTATCATGGTCCACAGAAAGCTTGTAGTCAAGGTGGTGTTCTAAGCCTCCTTTTTGTGAGAATGCAGAAACATGATAGTGTGCATAATGCAGTTACTTAAGTTCGAACTCCAGACCCTCCAGAGATTACTGTATGCAGACCTACCTGTATGCGGTGGGTGTTGACTTGTAGCATTTTTTGTCAGCTTCTTAGTCTACTGTTCCGCAATCAGCTTTTTGCTGTTAATGAGAGATATCTCAGTCTACTTTTTAGAATCACCAGTTTTTATTCCTAGAACGGTGAGGACATGAGCCAAACTTCCATGAATAGCCCCTGTTGCACAACTCAAATCTGTCCAATAAGTGTACAAATGGTAGAGTTGTTTGGGCATCCTGACTTTGTGGCCAACCAAATTAGCCTTGGGATTTGCCGTTAACTAGGCTGGCTGTTTTCAACACCAGGAAGCTTAACTGAATGGAAGGACTATGTTTTTCACTTTCGTGGAAGCATGTTTCTTACAAGAATTCCAGCATGTTCTGCATACTAGCTCCATGATTATCTCATGTGACAGTGGGTAGTAAAAGTTCGCTGGCATTCCTTGCCAATATTTTGAGTTTTAAAAAGTAGAGGCTCACTTGTGTGTGTACTTCCTATGATGTTTTGGTACAAAGTCACTGATATGTGCTTGCACATACAGTAAACATGCATGCACAAAAGTAGGGACAGGTCACATTTTTTGAAAATCAGGTCCTTTGTTTCTTCTTTTCAGAAACTGCTTTCAAGGCAGGTCTGTCCCATTTTTTAAAACTATTTTTACTTTCAAATAACGCTTTCACAAGGTGGGGGAAACAGTTGATAAAAAGGATTTAGTGTAACAGTCCTTGCTGTTGCTTGGCTTCCATTTTTTGGAGATACTTTGCTATGAACTGGAAGAAATGAAATAATGGGAAAAGTGCATGTTAAAATTCACCAATAATGCATAATTGTAAACTACAATCTCTGTAATCTAGGTAAAATGTAAAAATCTAGGATAGATTAGTTGGTAAGAGTGCAGAAATCTTATAATTTTTCATTACAGTTACTCAAATTCAGAGATTTATTTAAGATGAAACCAAGTTAAGGAAAAAGAACGGGCATGCTGGGGTGTGTGTACATGCGTGTGAGCAAGTGTGTGGTTACTTTTCATTCTTCCTGAGCCTTATAAGTTTACATTAAAAGCAATGCTCTTTTCCCCAGAATCTGGTTTGCTAACATATGCTATGGCAACTGGTGCAACATTTTTCTAATAAAGTGTTTATTGTCATTGTTTAATTTTCTGCTTTGAATCATTTATAATCCAAATATAGACTATGGAGCACAATGTCCCTTTCATTACTGTAATTGATCAATTTCAGAGTTATTTTTCTATCTTCCTTAGCCACGTAATATTTTTTTGTACCATGTTTAATTGATTTAAAGCTTCTTACATTTAATTAGTTGTTGTTTGTCCCTATGGAGCGGGCCTGCTTCCTTTTATTAGAAATTCAGAATGTATTGTGACTCTTGAGTTAACTAAAATTTATGTTGTAATTATGTAAATGAGTATTTTCTATATTGTAAAATGGAAGACACGCATAGAGCTAGACAATGAATCATTAGTAATTGGTCACTAAAAGGACTACCTACATCTAGCATACACTCATTAAGTACATGCATTTTGTGCAAAAGAGCAATATTTTCTTTTATTAAACAGATTATATTAAGTGTCAAATAGTTAAATTAATGAAATGGGGAAAAAAAACTTTACAAAGAAAACTTTGATTCATAAATATGCCAGAAAAATCCCTCTAAATGGAAAAAGAATAAAATCACAAATTACTAAATATTTTACATTTTCTAAATTATTTAAATATGCTGTGTACTGCTTGTGGATGAAGTACTGAGCTTTGTCAGTAGAGGGCAGCAAAGTTGCAGGGGATCTTTTTTTGAGATCTTGGAAACTCTGTCACAAGATTTTTACTTGTTTTCTTTATTAGCTGTTTAACAGTTGCTTTAGGTTTGTCTTTTAATGAAGTGTCCATAATTTCATAGTGAGTGGTCACTTCATAGTGAGTTTGGTTCAGATATTTAACTAGTTGTCCCCAGCCTTAAGTGTACTTGTGGGCACTTCTTTAATGGATGTTAAGTGTTTCTCTTTTTATGTTCTTCAGGGTGTTCCAGGACCTGGACAATATGAAATAAAAAGTCAGTTTCAGAAGGTGGAGAATATAACACAAAATGGAAATGAAGTTCCACGTGCTCCTTTTCTTTCACAGTCCAAAGTAAGTGGCAGTAGCATATTTTTCTTTCTTCTGTACTTTCTTGGTCAAAGTTGCATGAAAAAGTAATTAGCTGCATGAAAAAGTAATCCGCAAGAGATTATAATTGTACTGTGAGCCATGATTAGTAAATGATTTTTTCTTTCTCTGTGTTGTATTTTGATGTGTGTGTGTGTATGTGTATATATATGTATAGAAAGATATGTAGAATTGTATGTGTGTGAGTATACATATCTATGCTATAGATAGATATGCATATATATTTAGGATGTTTATGAGTGTATAATGTATGCATATATATAAAAATAAACACATGCATACATGAACCCACTTTATTTTTTACACATTTCCAAATAAAATATGGATGAGGCTCTATGCACTTTCACAGACAGTAAATACCTTTCAAATTACACCCGTTAATCAGGTTTGTCCTATGTGAATATTACACTGGGAAGTGGTGAATGAAAATTTCTTGTGGCTATGTAAAATTAGTACACATGTACAAAGATTGTTTTTAAAAATTCTTCTAACTGCCAAATTCAAATGTGTTTTCACGGATCTATTGAAAGGTACATGTATAATCTGACACATCTGTGCCAAATCTGAAGTTTCCATCCCTTTCTTCTGAGATGTTAAAAATAGTTGCAGATTTTTTTTATAATGGTAAATATTTTCACTCTCTTCATTCTCTGAGATAGCTGAAGAGTTCTTGCTTAGACTTTCCACAATATTTATTTTTGAGCAGAAACTAGTACCAGAAATGGAACTTCGAAAATGTTTTTAAAAACTGGAAAAGGCCTTGTAGAGTAGAAATCCTAAGGCAGCCACAGGCTATGAGCACCACCTGCAATACAAAATAACAAACAGCCAATTTATGAAACAAGGATCTGATGCCATCTCAGTGTTCTAGCAACTACAAAGACTATTGGTTTCCATACTTTATGATATCACCAAAATCCTTCGATGGAGTTATAATAATCCTTCTATTCACAGCTGCCTCTTTAATCTATGTATAAAGAATATATGTAGAATAATTGAATATAACCATAATCCCACTGCTAATTAAGAGTTCACAGCTACTAGCACATCAGGGGCTATATTGCATGACTATGTGGTCATCTACTACATTTCAGATCTTTGGAATATGACTCTTAAAATTTAAGGAAAAACTCAGAGCTAATACAAAACGTACAGTATGCAGAAGACCTCTGCTGAATAACTGACCGAGTAAGCTCTTAAATCACAATCTACCACCCATCCCACAAACCCTCAGCTGTCAATTGCTGAGGAAAAGAAAGATTATTACACTGTACTGAGAATAAATGAGGTAGCTATGAATTATGACACTCTGCTTTCATTGAGAGGTTCTGGTGACATCATAAATTGTAAGAGTGAAACTTTGATATAGAAAGGTTTCAGAGTAGCAGCCGTGTTAGTCTGTATCCGCAAAAAGAAGAACAGGAGGACTTGTGGCACCTTAGAGACTAACAAATTTATTAGAGCATAAGCTTCGGATGCATCCGAAGAAGTGGGCTGTAGTCCACGAAAGCTTATGCTCTAATAAATTTGTTAGTCTCTAAGGTGCCACAAGTCCTCCTGTTCTTCTTTTTGATATAGAGTTACACTTTGAATTTGCAGACTATATCTTTTGATGATTTTTTATTATCATATTTAATGTATGGTCATGGTTTTTTTTAATTTCCTTTCCTTCTCTCTTTTCCTGTCATCCCTTTCATTCACTATCTTCTCCTTCCATTCATATTTACATATTTTCCTCAAACAACATCTTATGCAAGCCACAGTTGGTCTGTTCCATGCATGGCATACCTCTAATTTTTATGTTTACTCACCAAAAATGTTGTCGTGTCCCAAAAGACAGAGGAATCTAAATAAACTCTCCATCCATTTAGTTTAAACAACTTCATGGAAGTTCTCTTAGGAAGGCTGCTAGAGTGACTTTAATTCAGCAGGCTATCAGAGTGGCTTTTCCTTTTCTGAAATTCATATATATTAAGGATTTTTCTGCATGGGGTTTACTATATTTATTGTAATCTGAAAAATATAAAGTTATGCAAATGCATCAAGAACTTACATAAAAATCATTGCTAAATGAGAGCAAAGATTCAAGGGGTGTGTGTCTTCAGAACCTTTATAAGTAAATATAACTTTATTCAGTTTTCGTGTTTCATGTTTTGTGTTCCATCAAATATATGAACTAGAAAGTACATTTATTAAAATCATATAGAAAATAATCTTGTATAGTTCTGCATGTTTATTTTTTGAAGATTGTTAAACATTTGCTATTACAAGAGGGACATTTCTAATATTTTGTGTATTTTAGAGATAATTTTTCAGTGGTGTGCTTATACCAAAATTTGCCATCTTGGATGCCTAAATTTAGGTGCCAAACCATATTTAGGCACCTAAAGAGACTGCCTGATTTTCAGAGGTGTTGAGCACAATTAGCGCCTCAATAAGTCAGTGGTTTACAATGGTGAAAAGTGCTCTGAAAAGTAGGTCAATTGTTTATTTAGATGACAAAATATGGATTTGGGTGCCTAACTTTAGGAACCCATGGTTGAACATTTGTTGTTCTTCGAGTAGTGTCCCTGTGGGTGCTCCACTGTCGGTGTGATAGTGCCTCCTGTGCCTGGGAGATCTTCAGTAGCAGGGCCTGTTGGGCTACACATGCGCTTCTCCCTATCTTGTGCCATGAGTGGCATCTATATAGTGCTGTGTGGTCCAAATGTCTTCACTTCCTTCTCAACCACCTTTGATCTGCGACGGAATCCTGAGCAGAGCCCTTCAACCATCCCTAGTCTTTAGTAATAGTAGTGTTTCCATTATAGTTAATTGTAGATACCAGCCATTTCCTTTAATTTTCTTCCCCCTAAAAAACAAAAATCCCATTGCCCTTTTCTCCCTATTACTCTTTAGCTTAGAGTAGATTTCCTTTTTTCTATGCTCTTCCTGATTGGGAAACTTTCCCTGCTTGGGTTATGCCTGGATCTCCTCTTTTGCCGTGAGGCCATCCCCATGACCGATGGTCACTCACGGTGCATATGCTGCTTCAGTGAGGGACATGTCTCTCAGAAGTGTACCCAATTCCTCAACTTGAAAGCCTGGTACAGAAAGAACCATGAACTGAGGCTAAAACTTCTACTCATGGAGAGCTCTGTGGGACCAGCCTCAGACCTTGGCCCTGATATCTCACCTATGTGGCGCTTACCATTGGCACAGTCATCAGCCGACTCTCACTCGCCATGCACTACCAAGAGAAAATCCACACTTTTACACTGAGATGAAAAGAAAAGGGCCACTAGCTCACTCTCTAAGGAGCCACCTCAGAAAAAAGCATCCCTGGAGAGGTCTGTAGCCTCAGTGTCCTCAGGGATGAGACTTGGCTCTCACAACTATTCAGGCATCTCTGGTACTGGCACAAAAGACAGGTCCAAGGACCCTAAAAGGGCAGGACTACAGGCGGAAATACTGTAAAACTTTCAAAATTGGCACTGACCACCTCAACAAAAATAATCCTGAGTGCTTCGGCACCGACAAAACATCCAGCACTGAGCAAGATCTCAGCACCAAGTAAGCCCTTGGCACCAGCTCCTGGCCACTCAAGGGAATGCATTCCCCTGTTGGCACTGGCTATGCCCTCAACCACTACACCACCACTGGTGCTGATGATGCTCCTGCTGGTACCACAGGCATTCAGATAGCCCAGAGACTCATAGTCTCTGATATGCCAGAGTCGCCACTTCTCCACAGTGAGTTCCCTGCACCTCGTGCCTACTCTCCAGAGACACAGCAGCACTCTACTTCCAAACTGAGGACATTCTTGAGTGAGGAAGGAGAGGAGTACTCCACTGCATGCAGTCCTCCATCATATCAAGAGCAGACACACACAGAGAACCATCCTCTCAACTCCGATACCCAGTGACCAGAACTGAACCAGGTACCTGATATGGACCCCCATGGATGCAACCCCACATGCCAGTTCTTCTACATTGGCCCTATTGGGACCCAGGGGCTACATATAGGGTGAACTTTCCCAAATCGCCCACGGAGCAGAAGCAGACACAAAGACGATCTCTGTCTTCATCAGTCTCTAGATCACCTGTCATTGAACAAGAAATCCACCCCAAGATAGAAGGTCATTCCATATTTATCCCCCCCCATCAAAAAAAGATTCTTCAAGGGCCTTCAGAACCTTTACCTTCAAATATGTGACCCCCACCCTGGGATACCAACCTAGTTCTGCACTGTCTCATAGGCCCTCCAGTTGAGCTCATGGCAACGTGCTCCTACACCCACCTATCTGTGAAGACAGCATTTCTCATCACCATCACATCCACCTGAGAGGTAGGAGAAATAGGTGCTCTCATGGCATACCCTCCGTACACAGTCTTTCACAAAGACAAAGTCATGTTATGACCACACTCAAAATTCTTACCCAAGATGCCGTCCCTCTTTTCACCTAAAGCAACCTATCCACCTTCCTTCTTTCTCCCCGAAGCCACTTGGCAACCAACATGAAGCCATGCTGCACACATTGGATGTCAGATGAACATTAACCTTTCACATTGACAGAACCAAATCTTTCAGACAATCGCCACACTTATTCCTCTCCGTTGCAGAGAGATCAAAGATCGTATCCAAATAATGTCTCTCTAAATGGATCTTGGAGTTCCTCTTCCTTTGCTACCAATGACACAAACTGCGACCCTCACCTGGAACTTGAACACATTCCACTTGCTCGCTGTCCACCTTGATTGCTTTTCTGAGCAACATGCCAGTTACTGACATTTGCCAAGCAGCCACCTGGGCATTTACAGACTTTTTTTTAGCCAACACTATGCAATTACCTATGTCACTGTGAAGCCCTGGCCTTCCATCTATGGGCACTCATCTACAGTCATCTATAGTGGAGTACCCATGCTTGAAGAAAAAAAGATTACTACTCACCCTGTGCACTAACTGAGGTTTTTCAAGATGTGTGCTCCTATGGGTGCTCCACTACCCACTCTCCTCCTCTTTGCTTTGAAGTTTAAAGATGGACTCTGTGGTAGAGAAGGAACTGAGGGCAGTTGGACTGCACAGTGCTATACAGACACTGCTCATGGTGTGAGATGGGGAGGAGAGCATGTGCAGCCCAATGGGCATTGCTACAGAAGATCTCTGATCCCAGACGCAGGAGGTGTTACCGCACCTACAGGGGAGCACCCATAAGGGGACACATCTCAAAGAACCTCCGTTACTGCACAGGGTAAGTAACCTTCTGTTCCTTATGATTTTAATTACAGTAGTTAGAATTGTGGTTAGGATTTTCAAAAACTCATAAGTGACTTAGGAGCACATTGACTTTCAGTGGGACTTGTGCATCAAAGGACACTTCATGCTTTTCACTGAACTGTAGCAGTGTCCACCCATATCACTGCTTCAGGGCAAGTTGGAGTGCTGTAGATTCACATCCTGACTTGCAGCATAGTAATTTGTCATGTGGACAAGCTCTAAGTCATTTAGGCCCTTTTGAAAATTCCTCCCTGCATGTTTAAATTCCTGTACATTGAGGTTTACTTCACACTTTCATTTCAAGTTAGTTGTGAACTAGCTGATTGGGGCGTTTTTGGGAGAGAGCGCAGAGAAAAATGGGATAATCCCTTGGCTCAGCCATCAAATTTGATTTAATCTCTCCAAGATAAATCAATTGACCACCACATGATCAACTATTTGTAGATGTTTTGGATGAGAACATAAAAGTAATCCCCTATATGTTCTTTGTGGGCAGTAAATATCTCCTCATAGGATTATGAGACTATTATGATGTACTTGCTGAGAAATTTGGCCTCTTCTTCCCCATTCTGTTTGTGTTGTGTATTTACTGGCTACTAATATGGCTGTACTTATGTGCTTGCGTGTATGAAGTCATTCAAATTAGATCTATCTTTCTATCTAGCTATACTTGTGTGCATGTATGAAGTAATTCAAATTAGTTACATATCTATCTATATCTATATATACAACTAATTTGAATGACTTCATACACATGCACACAAGTACAGTCATATTAGTGTGTGTGTGTGTGTGTGTGTGTATGTATATATGTATTGTACAGACAATGATAATAAAAGTTGTATATGAGAGTCTGATTTTTGAAGTTGGGCATGTGTTATTACCTGGACCTATAACATTTGTGCATGTGCAGACTGAGTACATATCTGTGCAAACTGTCAGATATATAAGTGACTGTGGCTATACAGAAGCTGAATATTGGTAAACATACAAGTGACATTTGCACTTGTTCCCTTCTTTGAAAATCAGGTCCTATATGTCTAGATATATTCAAGATATTAGTTACTATATATAAATTATCTTCACTTCATTAAGAAAGAAATGAGATCTATATGTTGTTATACTGATGTGGGCACTTTCTGTCCAGATAGTTTCTAAATGTGTTGCAGGTTGTCACTGGCATATTTTTTCCTCTGCTTCTCTAGAGATTTGTACATGTGAAATCAATCACCCCAGCTCCTGGTACATATAATGAACCACGCTCAGCTCTTGAATCCTTGAAGAAAACATCAGGAATGAAAAAGATCCCATTTGGTCAAACTACAGTTCGGTTCACTCAAGACTCCAGGCTAGAAAAAACACCAGGTTTGCAATTAATCCAAGTACTGTCAGCATTCAGTTTACATGACCCGATATTAGACAGATTGATATTCAAGGAAGTTAGCAATTAATCTTAAAAAGTATTATTAAAATACAGTAGGCATTTGGGCAAAATACACATATCAAACAGCACTCTTATTTATACTGAAATCTGTAAGGAGCCCAAAGGGAAACAAATGTAGTCTTCCATTCAAGATTTTGTTAGCTTGGTGTTTCCAGGTAATTTTATACTGTTAGTTCAAAGTGATAAATGTAGGCAATATTATTTGCACCTGTGGGTTTACTGATCTTATAGAAATCCTAGCTAAAATAAACAGAATATGAATTGCATTTGTGGGGAGTGGTTTTTTTTTAATTTGTGCTGTTATTTAATAAGGATTCTCTGTGCGAAGTGTAGACTCTGTAGATTTTTCATAGCAGCAGAATACCCAGCATGCACTATGGAGAGTGTGGTTCTGCCTGATATTATATAGTATATAGTAACTTAACAACTGCCAATGAAGTTTTTGTTCCTTACTTCCTGCCGGGTAAGGACATAGCCAGGTAAACTATTTTCCCCAGTGATGCACTTCCCTCTTACTGCAGGGCCCTAGAAGAAGAAATGCTTGAATTAGAGCAGGGGTAGGCAACCTTTCAGAAGTGGTGTGCCGAGTATTCATTTATTCACTTTAATTTAAGGTTTCACGTGCCAGTAATACATTTTAATGTTTTTTAGAAGATCTCTCTCTATAAGTCAATATTATATAATAAACTATTGTATGTAAAGTAAATAAGGTTTTCAAAATGTTTAAGAAACTTCATTTAAAATTAAATTAAAATGCTGATCTTACACTGCCAGCCTGCTCAGCCCGCTGCCAGCCTGGGGTTCCGTTCACCTAGGCTGGCAGTGGGCTGAGTGGGGCCTGCGGCCGGGACACCGGCTGGCAAGGGGCTGGCAGCCGGGACCCCAGACCTGGGGGAGGTTCAGGGGTCAGGGCAGAGGGCTTGGGGGGTGCAGGGCAAAAGGCTGGGTGTGTGGGGGTGCTCAGGGGTCAGGGCAGAGGGATGGGGGCTGTGGGGGTGCGAGGGCGGAAGGCTGGGTGTGTGGGGGGGTTCAGGAATCAGGGTAGAGGGCAGTGGCGGTGTGGGGAGGTTCAGGGGTCACGGCAGAGGGATGGGTGTGGTTTCAGAGGTCAGGGCAGAGGGCTGGGTGTGTGTGAGGGGTGCAGGGCAGAAGGCTGGGTGTGTGGGGGGGTTCAGGACAGAGGGCTGGGTGTGTGTGAGGGGTGCAGGGCAGAAG